GTGGTGTAAAGCGTGGACTCTTGAGCAGTGGGAACACATACTCTGAAGTATATTGACAAATCTGGGTTTTGTAGACCCCAAGAGAATGGATAGTGCCAACAGTAAAGTTTGGTGGAGGAGGGATAATGGGCTGGGGCTGTTTTTTAGGGTTTGGGTCCCTTAACTTCAGTAAAGGGTGATGTTAATGCTAATGCTACAGATACATTTTAGACAGTTATATGCTTCCAACTTTGTGGTAACAGTTTGGGGAAGGCCTTTCTTGTTCCAGCTTGAGTGTGCCCTTCTGCACAAAGCGAGCTTCATAAAGACAGGGTTTGACGAGTTTGGTGTGGAGGAACTCCAGTGGCCTGCACAGAGCCCTGACCTCAACCCCACTGAACACCTTTGGGATGAACTGGAACGTTGATTGCAAGCGAGGCCTTCTCCCAGCTTCAGTGTCTGACCTCACAAATCCTCTTTGAACTGAATGGGCACAAATTCCCACAGACACACTGCAAAATCTTGTAGAAAGCTTCCCAGAAGAGTGGAGGCTGTTGTAGCTGCAAAGTGGGGCAACTCCATATTAATGCCCACGGTTTTGGAAAGGGATGTCAGATAAGCTCATATAGGTGTGATGATCAGGTGTCCACATACTTTTGGTCATATATTGTACTTATGTCCGTGCATAGAATGGACATAAGTTTGTTGTTTTTTGTTGTTATAAAGAACGAAGTTTAATAAAGAGTCTTATCAATGTAATACCTGCAGTGATATTAATGATTTCAATCTACAGTCATGTGCAAAAGTTTGGGCGCCCCTAGTGAAATTAATTTTCTTGTTTTTCTAAGTGAAAATAAGTTAACACATCCTACAGAGTACACTCTTTACATTTTGAACAGTTTCTTTTTATTTGCTGAGTTTAACATATTGGTGAAAAATTTATGCAAAAGTTATGACATATTTTATATTGGAAATTTATTTCCAATGTTAAACTCATCAAATAAATAGACATTGTGCAATAAAATGTAAAAAAAATGCACATTTTCTTTTAAAAAATCAACAAATTGTAGTTTGACCAAGGGTGTTCAAACTTTTGCATATGGCTATATATTAGCACTTGTACACAGTGGACCGGAGTGTGTTTACAGGTGCTGTTGTTGAGTTGTGCTTTGGAATAATGGAACTCATTAAGGCTGCTGTTCCCATAGCAACACGTTCTGTTTTCTTTCTTCCTGCTAGGTGCAATGAGACGCCGTTGACACACTCGCAGAAACTCAGTGGTCTCAGATGTGCACACACACACACACACACACACACACACACACACACACACACACTCAGTCACTCACATACAGGCTTTGGAGAAGAATAATAGAATAATTAGGACAGTGTATTGTATTATTCTCACTGTGCTCACAGATGTTCCCTCTCAGTCTTTCTCTGTGCTTCTCTCAGTAAATAGTAAAATAAAAGACAGCGCATCATTAATTAGCTTTAATAGCTGTGATAAATGCATGAATGTTCATCTGGTATAGCTCTGTTTTGAGTCAACTTAACTTTTTTTTAAAAACTCAATTTTTTTTTTCTTTTTACCGTTTTTTAGAATAGGTTTATCTGTTACAGGCAAGCAAAAAAAATATAAATCATTAATGTCATGCCAAAATATTATTCCTTTTTTTTTACAGCAACTTCTGAAAACTACATTGTTTGAGCATTTCATAATGAATAGACCAATGTTTTTGTTGGTTAACAATTAATGTATGCATGTAATTAATGAAATAAAAAAAAAGATAGACTTTCTAGACCTACTTGCTGATGCATTTCCTTGCTGGCTGAATTGTGTTCTTTTCTTTCATTTTGAAATGTTTTTTCTTTAGTTTTGTTTACACTGAGAAGCAGATAACCCTAATGATATGGTTCTCACAGTGCCCGCTGCCTGTAGCATTATCTTTTTTTACCCGATTACCACTACCTGCATAAAGCTAATTTCCACTACAGGATCCCTTATGTTAGCACCAAGCTAGCAGTGGTGTATGTTCATATTTTGTGGCATTTATTCTAAACTCTAACTTAAACACTTAAAGACATTTTAAACTCATAACTGGCACTCAGGCAACTTTCTTAAATGGGTATATCGTATTTTTAAAAGAAAAACAGGTCAGACAGTACTCGTATAATTGGACCGTTCTACTGAATTAGTCAGAACTGTGGTCACACTATAAAGAAAAACTATTTAAAAAAAATTAAGTATTCAGACCTTAAAAAAATGCTGTCCCACGTTTTTATGTCACTACTGAAACTACCCAAAGAATTTTTGTCCATAGGCAGAGGCTTATTTTAGCCACACCCCTGCATTTTAGAGCAGGAGGTGAACTGCATCATTGTCCCTCATGGCCACATGGTTGTCATGGTAGCAGTCAAATCCCATTGTTTTGAGGTAAATGTGTCCCAAAGTCTGAAAATGAGTGTGTTACATTAAGAATTGTCAGTACCGAAACACATTTTCTGCAATGAAGTAAACTTTTTTGCCTTGTTATTAAAATTATTCTGATTTTATGTGTGTACAGCTGTTCAAAGCTGTGTTTGCTAGTCATGTACTGGCTAGCGTTTTAGTTCTGCTCAAAATGAGCTAAAATTGTCACTACTGAAACATTTGGTAGTAGTAGAAGTTTCAGTACTGTTACGATTGTTTTGGTAGCGACATAATGGAATATTTAGTTGTTTGTTTTGATAAAATAAACATAATTAAGGTATAGGGTCACTCAGGACAAAAGGATTTTGGTGTAAAGTCAAAGTCAGTTTAAAGTCCGAACTGTGTTTTCAGCTCTGACTCTGAACCAGTTTGGTGGTATAATCCAGTTCACAGGAAACAGCACAGATGCTTGTCTACTTTTGAAGTGTTTTGCCTGTTTACCTGTTTACTACTTTCTTTATTTTTTGCTGAAGGTATTTTGATGAAGGTATTTTACCCATCAGGGCTCTGTCCTGGTAAATTTCCTCATAGGGGTTTAAAAGTCAATCCCCTATAGCAAATACCGCTTCTGTTCAGAATGACTTCCTTCTCCTGTTAAGTTACCATAGGAATGAGGTTTTGATTGTTATAGGTTGTGTAGTCTACTCTGACTCCCACTGTTCTGCAGATGTTGGCCAGTGATATTTAGGACAGTTATGGCTACCTTGCTTGTCTGTTTTTGAGAACGTGGTTGAGTGTCTATCTTCCCACAGGACTTTTTGGCTTTGTCTTCCTCGGTGTCTGTTTTTTAAACAGCACCCTGTTGTTCTTTTTAGGAGCACATTAGACAAGAACTGGGTCACACAACAAGACAGGTCCCGCAGGGTTACCCTTAAAAACCCTGCAGAGCGCTGTGGGGGTTTAAAAAGGGCTGCCTTCTTTGCCCCGAAGACAGGCTGGGAGCATTCCAGCTTTTTGGTGTGGTGTTTATGTGGTTTGGTGGGTTCATTTAGTTCAATTTGGTCCAGATTTGGTAAACAGCATAATTGGCCACATGCATTCCAGGTGGGTAGGATGGTCCTCCTCCACCCCCCCCGATCTCTTCCCAATACCTCCCAGCTTTGTGGCTTCTACCTAGTAGAATCAGACATGACTAAATTGAGGAAAAAAAAATGAATAAAAACAAAACCAACAAAAAATCTTCAGGTACTCTTTTGATCGCCAGACGATTGGTAGATTATATCTTCTATAAAGACAGTCCTAATACTGACCATCTACAGCCAAAACAGTATGACCACTCCCAGAAGAAGCGTGTAACGTTCATCTTGTAACAGTGGTGCATGTCAAGGTTTGGGTATATGGTGGATGGTAAGTGAAGAGTCAGTGCTTGTAGTGGATGTGCTGGATTACGTACAAATGGGCAAGCATGACGATGTGAGTGACTTTGACGAGGGCCAAATTGTTATGGCCAGGTCGGATCGTCTCTGAAACAGCAAGGCTGATGGGGTGCTCCCAGTCAGTGGTGGTGAGTACCTACCGACAGTGGTCCAAGGAGGGACACACCATGAACCAGTGACAGAGTGTTGGATGCGCAAGGCCAATGAAGGCTATCTGGTCTGGTCTGAACTGACAGAAGAGCTACTGTGACAAATGTCACAGAAATTTTTAATGATAGTTGCGGGAGGAATGCGGAATGGAACGCCTACAGTGGACCTTGGTGCGATGGAAGAAGTTCGCCTGGTCCAGTGAGTCCTGTTTTCCTTTACATAACGTGGACGGCCAGCTATGTGTGCACCATTTACCTGGAGAAGTGATGGCACTTGGATGCACTTTGGGAAGAAGAGAAGCCGGTAGATGGAGTGTGGTGCTCTGGGTAATGTTCTACTGGGAAACCCTGGGTCTGGGCCTTCATGTGGCCATCAGTTTGACACGTGCCACCTGCCCAAACATTGTCACGGACCAGGTAAAGTCCTCCATGTCAATGGTGTGCCGATGGTAGTGGCAGGATATTGCACCCTGCCACACTGAACACATTGTTCTGGAACGGTTTGAAGAACATGACGAAGACTTCAAGCTGGCCTCCAGATTCCCTAGATCTCAGTCCGATCGAGCATCTGTGGGATGTGCTGGAACAAGAAGTCAGCTCCACCTTGCAAACAGGACTTGGTCTGCTGGCAAGGAGCTGCTGCTAATGTCTTTGTGGCAGATACCACAGGGCACCTTCGGAGGTCTTGTAGAGTCCATGCCTTGGTGGGTTGGAGCTGTTTTGGGAGCACATGGAGGTCCAACAGCATAATAGGCATAATGTTTTGGCTCATCTGAGAAGATGCAGGATGTATCTTTTTGGTTCTCATTTTAGAACAGTCCAATTACATCACAGTTAAGATGAGTTTCGCGTTCTTCCCTACATACACCTTTCTTTGACTTTCCTTGTTGTTATGTTTATTTCTGTGTGAAAATGCTGTCCGATGCAGCGTACGTACAAGTTTCCTCTCTAAAGCTGTGGGTGCGTCAGACAAAAAAAGGCTTTTATTCAACACTGTTCATAATTTCTTTCTCTCTGTTGCAGAAACCTGCCAATATCCTGGTGATGGGGGAGGGCCCAGAACGAGGGAGGGTCAAAATCGGTAAGAAGCACTACTGAACAGGGGTGTAAATCACAGACCTCACAGCAATTTGACTCAGTTACAGTTCCTTAGGGAATGATTCGGCACATCATGCAGTCTTAGATTTTACTATGATTCAATTTAGTTTTGTTATTAACGATTCAAAGTAGGCATGACAATTTAGAATGATTTCTTTGACCAACAACTGACCATCATTAGATAGCGACTAACTGTCAACAAGCAAGCTTAAATTTAAGTACACAACCCATCAAAATATCAGTAATAAAACACAGTTGTGGTTCTGAAATCTGATTGGCTGAGCTGTATTCAAAGCCGCTATAAAACACTTGATATATACACACTTATAAGCGCACAAATGAACTGAATTTGGTGTTAATGCATCAAAATATTAAAGAGTAAATATACGTTCATGATTATATGACCAAAAACTAAGAAGTAAGAAAGTGACTAAAGGAGCTCTTCGTAGTAGCTCATAAAACTTATCCCGAGATTTTGTTTTGGCCAAACATACTTTACTGAACACTACTGTAATCAGTTAGTGTTGATTCCAACATTGCAAATGAATGAATGAATGCAGTTGAATTACAGTGTGTCTGTGCTTTTTTACACCCCTACTACACAACGTCACTCCTTCTCTGTTCTGCTTGCTCTATTGATTCTCACAGTGTGTGATGATTAAATCACTCAAAGCATACTAAGCTATCAGCTCCTCGTTGGAAGCGAAGCCACAAAGAACATTAGGATGCGGATAAGAGCTCTCAGGAATTCTAAGAAACGTGTGTGTCTGCTGTTTGGCTCGTTTGACCTCATTGGTGACCCTGGCCTCAGAGAGATCAAGCAGACTTCAGGCTCAGCACATTAAAGGTCAGACTAGTTGACCTCTCCTGGGCTGGAGGATAGTGCTGACTGTTGGCACTCTGTAATGTTGCGTAACTTCATGTGAAATGCTTTAGCGCTGGCTATTTCAGACCAGCCTCTGACGTGTTTGTTGAGCTAGATTTCCCCCAGAATTCCACTTTTTAGAACCAGAACAACCACATATCAGTTCTAATCTTTACTGTTTGTTGAACTTTCAGAATCTTCCCCAATTTCTACAAATCTGTCTATCTATTTATGTATCTATCTATCTATCTATATATATATAGATATATATATATATATATATATACACACACATATATATATATATATATATATATATATATATATATATATATATCTGTCTCTCTGTCTGTCTGTCTGTTTGTCCAACTGTCTGCCTGTAGATCCATCTATCCATCAGTCTTTACGCTTTCTCATCCATCCATCTACATTTATGTACATCTATCCATCCATTTACTTCATCCATCTATTATTCCATCTTTTTAATCATATTTCCTTCATCTTTCCATCTACATTTTCATCTTCCCTTTCACATTTCCATCCATCCATCCATCCATCCATCCATCTACATTTACTTCCATCCATCTATCCATCATTTCATCCATCCATTCCTCCAGCCTTACATCTTTCATCACCTAATCAATGATTTAAAGAGGAAAGAGTTAACAGGCTGTTATTTCAGCTAAATCTCATACTGCCATATGAGCCCTCCTCACACTTAAGCCTTTTATGTATGAAGTCATGTTTCCATCCATCCACCTGTCCATCCATCCACATTTCCATCCTTCCAACTATACATCCTATAACCATTCCTCCACTTTTCCATCCATCTATCCATTCCTTCATCCGATCATCCATCTACATTTACGTCCATCCATCCGGCATCCACCTTTGCTTCCACCCATCTGTCCTTCCATCCATTCTTTTTTCAGTCAATTCATGCATCCTTCTATCCATACATCTTTCCATCCCTTCTTCCATATATATGCATGAATAGGCAATTTAACTGCATTCAACAAATGTGCTTCAGTTCAAATTAATATGTGCCAGTAAATTCAAATATCATTTAATTGCATGGTGGAGCATTCTGGGATTGGATTTGATCTCCTGAACTGTTTGAACTGAGACTTGGGCATCCAAGCATGAACAGTATGGTGACATTTTGAAACACTGTATCAGTCATTAAAATCATTTAAAAGATTGCCTTATACAGAGTAGTTTGTTACAACCACTGTTTCAGACTGCCTTAGTGCTTATATACAGGAGCTGTATACAGTATATATAGAGTATAAATATACAGCATATATACTGTGTATGTATATATACTGTATACAGTGCTTATATACAGGCCCTTTGCCACCCAATACCTGGTCAAATTCTCTAAAACCAAGTGAACGATGGGACATAGACTTGCACTGAATGAAGCATAGTTAGCATATATGATAACTAAATGTAAAGGAACTGTACATTACAGCTGATATCTAAGAGTTTTTTTTTTTTGTGGTTGTTGTTTGATGTTGATCTTCTGTTGTGTGTTTCTCTGTATGTATATTGTAGCGGATATGGGTTTTGCACGCCTCTTTAATTCTCCTCTGAAGCCCTTGGCTGATCTGGACCCAGTGGTGGTCACCTTCTGGTATCGGGCCCCTGAACTGCTGCTGGGAGCGCGACACTACACCAAAGCAATCGGTGAGTTTAACCACCACATAGCAAATGTAATGAATGCATTTTAAGTATTAGACATATTCCAAAAAAGACAGTGAGTTAAACAGCTACACAGGAAGGCAGTTGTTGACTTTTGTATGTGTTTAACCCCTTAAATTCTCAGGCTTGTTTTATACTGATGCCTAGTAATTATATGGAAAAGAATACAAACTGGCTATTTATTCTTAACTTATACAAACCTTAGTTCCGAAAATGTAGTGAGGCTGTGTGAAATGCAAATAAAAACAGCAAAGAAGTGATTTGTAAATCCATTTTGACCTTAACTATGAATGAAAACAGTTCAGAGATATTTGGTGCCTTATCAATGTTGTTATTTTTCAAAATATGTGCTCAGTCTATAAGTGGTGCCTGCAGCACATTCCAAAAATTTGGGGACATGGGTACGTTAAGACTAAGACTGTAGTGAAATGTTCAGGAAATGTGCAGTCATAATTGGGTATAGAAGAAGCATCCAGGAAAGCCCTAGTCCTTCATAAGCAAGGAGGCATTGAGGCTCGCCAATTTACCATGAAAATGCCTATGATAATAATCCAACAGTTAAAGAACGATATTCCTCAACTAGCAACTAAAAGGATTTTAGGTCTTGTACCTTTTATAGTGCACATCATCAAAACGTTCAGAGAACTTGGAAAAATCTCATAAAGCAAATGGCCGAAAACCACAGCTGACTGCCCGTGACCTTCAACACCTCAGATGACGCTGCATTAAAAACCAGCATGCTTCTGTAATGGATATCACTATATTGTACTGTTCACAGCAGAAATCATTTGTCAACAATGTCAAGAAACACTGCTGACTTCTCTGGGCTTGAGCTCATCTGAAATGGTCTGATACACAGTGGAAACGTGTTGTAGTTTGTTTATGGAAGTAACAGGTGTTGTGTTCTCTGGTCCAATGAAGAAAAGAGTCATTCAGTTTGTTACCAGTGTAAAGTTCAAAGGCATCATTAACACAGAAAGATATAAGTAGAACGATATACTTTCTACACTCTTAAAAAAGATGGTTCTTCAAGGATTCTTTAGTGAGGAGAATGATTCTGTGTAGGGCCATGAACACTCAAAGAACCCTTTGCATGATTAAAAGGTTCTTTTTATTGTGAAAGTGTTCTTCAGATTGATGGTTCTATATAGAACCTTTTTGAAAAAGGTTCTAAATAGCACCAAAAAGAGTTCTGCTATAGTTACAATGTCAAGTTTGTACTAATAGAACAACCCGTTTGGTGCTATATAGAACCCAGTTCAGAAAGGTCCTATATAGAACCATTTAAACACATTCTCCATCCATCTGAAAAACCCTTTCACAAGGCAAAGAATCCCTTAAGTATGCCAAGGGTTGTTTGAGTGTTCATGGTTCTATATAGAGCCATTTTCTTTACTAAAGAACCCTTGAAGAACCGTCTTTTATAAGTGTGTAGACAGCGTCTTTTTCAGGGTCGTCCCTGCATATTTCCACATGACACTGCCAAACCACATTCTGCATGTGTTAAAACAGCATAGCTGTGTAATCAGAGGGTGCAGGTGCTAGAATGTTCTACCAGCGTTGGAGACCTAACTCCCATTATGACCGTGGCACGTTATGAAGTGCAAAATATGACAGCTGAAGCCTTGTGTAACTGAAGAAGGGCAAGAAATTCTGCATTCAGAACTGGATCAGTCGGTGTCTTCAGTCCTCAGATGAATGAAAGGTGATGTAACACAGTGGCAAACATGCTCCTGTCCCAAGTTTTTGGACCATGTTGCTGGAATCATAATTTTTTTGTTTTCCAAAAAAAACAATAAACTCCATAAAGTAGAATATCCAGTATCAAACATGACTTTTCTGAACTGCTTTCAACGTGACACAAGTCAAATAGAATCTACAGATCACTGCTTTCCAGTTTTATGAGCATTTCACATACTGTCCCAAACTGAGGTTTGTAGAAGTAAGGAATGAAAGCCTGCTTCTGCCGGCAGCTCCTGGGCATTTAATGGGTTAAATACGAGCTATGTGTGTTAACTGGACCGTGAGTAATTCTCTCACCATACAGGCGATGGACTTTGCTCTCTGACTGTTTGCTTTTACAGACCTATATATTTACTTGGCGTTTGCATTGGTGTTTATTAATGCTTGCTCTTTGTATGTGTGTGTGCTTGTGCATGTAAGTGATAGTGATAGTAAACGTTTGTGCAGGCTGCACTGTTTGTGTGTTATTTGCATATTTTTCATATCTGTATGGGCCTGTGTGTGTGTGTGTGTGTGTGTGTATTCTCAAACCCTTAATCAGCATAAACTGTGAGTGTTTGTTACACAACACTGTTGGCCCATCTTGTTTAAAGAAACCCACTTCACCCTATCAGGCATTATTCACATACCTGCAGCGTGACCTCAACTGTATATACACGTCTCTCATGCTAGAATAGCTATGAGCTGTGAAAATATACCCTGCGCACTTTCGGTTACGTAAGAGGCCATGATGGACGCCTCATGGTCGTACAGCTGAAGTAGCCTGTATGTGGACCGTTTAAGGTGCACACAGCACTCCCACAGCAGACAAGCTGTTTAATAAAAACAATATTCAGACCTTATATATATGCAAGGATGATGTTATGATATAAATCCAAGACATTCATTTTTAAAAAAGGTGCTTTCTATTCAGGAGGTGACTGTGCCAAACCCTAACCCCTAAGTTTACATATGTGAAAATAATACTTTATATATTTGTTTTAATATTTTTTAAAGAGTTTAGTCCAACTCTGCGTTGTAACTGAATGTAAACCAAATAACACATTCATTTTTATTGTTAAAGGAAATAGTAAATAATACTAGGAATAATAATAGCATTCCAGTCTCAGGAGATGTTTGAATTTTGGAACCAATAAACATCAATAAACAAACAATACTCTGTTCAGCCATCATGGAAAGATCAATTAGATCCTCAACCAGCAGTGAACACAGTTTATTTAAACGTGTAGAGAAAGGGCTGTTTTATTCTGTTTGAAGGATGTTGTTGATGTTCAAAAAAAGTTCAGTTTCTGATCAGATGGAAGCATCACACCGGCTCCACCTTACCCCGAGACCGAGTCAAGATAATGTCAAGTCGAGGGTTGTCATGAACATGAAATTTCCTGTGTTTACTATGTAGCTAACACTGGTGGTACTGTTGAATTGGTACACCACACTGTTCGGCACTTGCATACACAACACAATTAAGTCGTGATCTCAAGATAAGAATTCAGAAAATTATAGCCGCCTCTTGGCCTTTCCAGACATCCAGGAGGCTGCAAGTTTGAATCCTGGTGATGCTGCAGGCCAGAAAAAGTTGCTAGTTGCCGATTTTTCATCGCTGACGTGAACACCAGCCGATATATCGGTCAGGCTCTAAGGACCACATAATACAATTAGTATGAAACAGATAGTAGAATGGAAAACAATGTGGGTGCAAGAGTGCAGTCCTGTGTAGATTATCTGATAAATTATAGTAGGAGTGTAAGCATAATGCAAATAAAAGGCTGACCGTTACCCATAGCAGTATACTATATATTGAAGCAGGATTTTAGTGGACAAGATGCGTTGAATTGTAATCAAATCAAGGCACCGTGTAAGAATAAATGCAGTTTTTAGTAAATTGAACAGGTGTGCTATAATATTTTTATTTTATTTATATACACTATATTGCCAAAAGTATTCACTCACCCATCCAAATCATTGAATTCCGGTGCTCCAATCACTTCCATGGCCACAGTTGTATAAAACCAAGCACCTAGGACTGCAGACTGCTTCTACAAACATTTGTGAAAGAATGGGTCGCTCTCAGGAGCTCAGTGAATTCCAGCGTGTTACTGTGATAGGTTGCCACCTGTGCAACAAGTACAGTTGTAGAGAGCTTCATGGAATGGGTTTCCATGGCTGAGCAGCTGCATCCAAGCCTTATATCACCAAGCGCAATGCAAACCGTCAAATGCAGTGGTGTAAAGCGCCGCCACTGGACTCTAGAGCAGTGGAGACGTGTTCTCTGGAGTGGCGAATCACGCTTCTCCGCCTGGCAATCCGATGGACGAGTCTGGGTTTGGCGGTTGCCAGGAGAACGGTACTTGTCTGACTGCATTGTGCCGAGTGTAAAGTTATGGTGTGGGGTTGTTTTTCAGGAGTTGGGCTCGGCCCCTTAGTTCCAGTGAAAGGAACTCTTATTGCTTCAGCAGACCAAGAGATTTTGGACAATTTCATCTTCTCAACTTTGTGGGACCAGTTTGGGGACGGCCCCATCCTGTTTCAACATGACTGTGCACCAGTGCACAAAGCAAGGTCCATAAAGACATGGATGAGCGAGTTTGGTGTGGAAGAACTTTACTGGCCTGCACAGAGTCCTGACCTCAACCCGATAGAACACCTTTGGGGTGAATTAGAGCGGAGACTGCGAGCCAGGCCTTCTCGTCCAACATCAGTGTCTGACCTCACAAATGCGCTTCTGGAAGAATGGTCAAAAATTCCCATAAACACACTCCTAACCCTTGTGGAAAGCCTTCCCAGAAGAGTTGAAGCTGTTGTAGCTGCAAAGGGTGGGCCGACATCATATTAAACCCTATGGATTAAGAATGGGATCTCACTCAAGTTCATATGTGTTTGAAGGCAGACGAGCGAATACTTTTGGTAATATAGTGTAGTTTTCTGCAGCAGAGCAAAGACATATTGTAAATTACGGTATTATTATTGTTGTTGGTCAGTATTTATAGTACATCTAATACAGATATACATGCTTAGATATCGAAATTCCTATTATAGGAATACTCGAGGAGCCTTCCTTGCTCTATATCTGGCCTGCCAACCCAGCGGTCAATGTCTGAGCTTACTTGGGGACCACAATATTTTAGTAAGGAGTCCATTACTGACAGACCTAAAACTTGTAATGCGTGAATCCACAGGTAAACTGAGTCTGATATTCAGTCTTGTTGGAGCATCATACATTTGTGTGCACAGTATGACAGTATTTGTAGTAGATGTATTAGAGGGGAGCTAATCTCTGATATGTAAGCATGTTTTAAGACCAAGAAACAATGAACAGCCAACAATTTTGCCTATTTCTTGCAGTTCAGTACTTTGCAAAAGAGAGACCACCCTTCATTAGTTTCATTTCCACCCTTCATTAGTATCATTTCCAGCCAAAACAGCCATAAAGTTATTCATTTTTCAGTATGATCAAAAAAAGCAGGAAACATTTATTACACAGAAGCCTCAACAAATAAATATCAATTTTATTTGTCCACCTGCAGACAATGTGTGCCTATTTAACTAATAAGATGTGTGCATCTTATTGAGGCAGCAGGCCTGTGAGGTTTCTGCAGGCACAATACAAAATAAACATCAAGCTCTTGTATGTTTCAGTGGATTATATGCTCTGTGCAATGGATGGTTCATTTGATCTGATTGCATGACCACTACGTCCTGTCGGCTTCATGCAGTATTATGCAACTGACCAAGTTTTATCCATCGACCTTCCATAGACTTACAGTTTACCTAGTTTTGTTTTATTAACCCTCACAGCATGGGGTTAAAAATGAAATGGCCTTGAGTTTTATAATGGCAGTCTGTCCTTCAGTGTATTCATATCTGAATCAAAGCTCTGCTTCCTCACCACTCATGACCTACAGCAGTTCCAAAGTCCGATAACACCAGCTTTCACTACAGACACTAAGGCAGATGCTGATTAGTGTCGTCGTTATTTGCTAGTGTTTCTAAGAGTGTGTTTTCAGGTATATGGGTGAATTGGCTTGGGTTGTCTTGCAGTTGTGTGCTTTTTACTTTAAATCATTGGATGATGTGTCTTTTTGATGTAAAGTTCTTTGTGTTGTGTTGTATTGTTGCTGTTGTTGTTTATCAGTGTCATTTTGTTCTTGTTTTCGTTCAGACATTTGGGCGATAGGCTGTATCTTCGCGGAGCTGCTGACGTCAGAGCCGATATTTCACTGCCGTCAGGAGGACATCAAAACCAGCAACCCCTTCCACCACGACCAGCTCGATCGCATCTTCAGCGTCATGGGCTTCCCTGCAGGTTCGGCCTGCACCCAGCACTGAGCCTTAAACAGCTCAATAAGAGTACCAATGTTGGTTTATATGTATGAATACACTAAAACTCAGTTCAGGTTATTATAAATGCTGTTCAGTGTTGATCACAACTGCTAAATAATTATCTAATATGAAGGATATAAGTGAAGTAGCAAAAATAAATATTACTCATAAGGAAAGCTGTAATTAGTGGTGGGTCCAAACCAGTTTCAGAGGGAGGGCCTCGATATCCACTTTATTACATTTCTCTGGTTTTATGTACCAAAAACAGCCATGAACCCACCTCATTTCATCGCTTGGGTTAAACAGGCTGCTTTTGTTACTGTGCCTTTAAGACTGAGTATGTAAATGAACTGTGTTCTGATTGGCTGCCCTGTATTTTGCTTGATTCAGAAAAGAAGTCTGGGCTGAAACGCTCCTTCGCCGCAAATGGGTGGAGCTTTGCATGTACTAAAGAATCCTTAGAGAACCATTCTTTTCATGTGTGTAGTTTTACAGTAAAGCTGATAATACTGTATATTTTTATTACAGTATCATTACAGTAATATTACAGTAGTCATACAGTAAGGTGTTTGATACAGTATATGCTGCCTGTGCTGTAAGCATTTTCCCAGAATTCAACCCCAGATGCTGTATAAAGCTGTAAAGCACATAGTATCATACTGGCTTGATCGTCACTGTAGAAATGACAGAAGTCCTTTTCAGTGCCGAAGGTCACTAGAACCCACTTCATTTGCTTCATTCACTCCCACAGAATGTATCAAATTCCACCACTGGTGCTTTCCATCTGCCTAATGCTGCATATTATAGCTTGTAAACAAACAAAACTATACTATTTTGTCGCGCAAATGCTGCCACCCGCTATGACTGCTTTGCGTTGAGCAGTAATCCCTGTCAAATAAGCGACCACACAGTTTATTGTTTTAGTTCTCAAGGATGCTGCTATACACAGCACAACCATTTGAAAGCACTCAGCAGTAAAGATGTGGGTAAACTTGTTGAGCACAACACAAAGCCATTTTTTTGGCTTGTGCTAAATCGGTACAAGCCGTTTATTGTTGGTTCACCATCATGAGCGCATGCCCAACCACAAAGTGTCGAAAAGTATTTACACCATTTTAAATTTAGCAAACTGGGCCGACTGATGAAAGGCCGCTAACTGCCCTTTTCACAACACACTGATCGTTGCTAGCTTTGCTTAACATTATTGCAGCCTGTGGGTTGACCTGTGTTTGTTTGTGTGCGTGTATTACTGTCAGATAAAGACTGGGAGGACATCCGGAAAATGCCTGAATATCCAACCCTACAGAAAGACTTCAGGAGAACAACGTGAGTGGAATTTTACATCCACAGGTCGTTGTGACGGACACGGTTCCACCCTCTTAGAGTCCAGCATTTTTGAATAACTTTACATATATTTTCTTGCTCTGTGTCTGGTCGGTCAGTATCCCGAGCATACCCCCCAGCTTCTCAGTGGTAATTAAATGAAAGGGCTGTAGGCCTGCATTTTGGATTAAAGTTCATTCATTATCCATTATTAATTACCCTTTTAAAAAACAAAGGGGCACCTTCATGCCTTTCTAGGCCTTCAAAGAAGGCCTAATGATTCTTGGTAACCGCAAATATAAACACATGAATGTATTTAAATGTAATTAAATCATCATTTTTGTTGTATTCAAACTCTGCAAGTATAGGGTAACTTTTGGTTGAAGGCAAAAAGGGTCAAATTTTCCAATGGACAATTGTCCAATCAGGATTTTTTTCTCTGTAGTATCTAGGTAGATATAGCCAAGCTCACTCTCCCATTGATTAGGACTTCAGGAGCTAAACTGAAGGCCTTAAATGTTATGTTGACTACCAACATAGTAGGAGCTGACAGTGGATTGTAGATGCGTGGGACCAATTTTATGAGAAAAAAGTCACAAAAAAGTTTCAGTTAATTGTTAGAAATGGAAAACAGTGGCTGCTATATGTCAGGGCTCTTTACTGAAAGAGTCAGAGTTAAACTGCTAAACAACTGTTAACGGTAAAATATATGTTAGTGACTGTTACAACCTTCAAATCAGACATATGAGATATCTTTTACAAGATTGAAATGTCTTTGTTTAAACTAGAACGAATTAACCAAAAAATGTTAATATTCACCACCATTAGCTTAGTGCTAATGTACTATTAGGAATCCCATAGAGGCACTAGCAGAAATTAGCATTATCATTGAGTTGTTTTAACAATTATGGCCCAAACTGAAGGCCTAACTCTAATAGTCATGATTTGCCACTGGTTAAAACTGAAGGCTAATTCCCAAAGTGAACTTTTCTTTTGCATCTTTTATATGAGCTGTGATTTGGCATGTTTCTGATCATAATGTATGGTCCACATGTCTCTTAAACTAACGTTTTTTTTTGTTGTTTGTTTGTTGTTTGTTGTTTTTTTGTTTTGTTTTGTTTTTTTACCAGGTATGCTAACAGCAGCCTCATCAAGTACATGGAAAAGCATAAAGTAAAACCAGACAGCAAAGTCTTTCTGTTGGTAAGTGCCTACTTCACATATCAGACTGTCACATAAGTCTGTTTAAAAGTGTTGCTAGTAGGAACAATCTGCCTGTGCCATTGCTGTTGTGCTGATTATTGCTGACAGCATTTGAATACCAAATGCAGTGTAGTCCAGTGCGCCTTTGAAGAAGTGTACTTACAGTGCTGTGCAAAAAGCTGACCACCCTTTATGTATTTAATTTCCAGTGAAAACGGCCATTAAGTGCAAGTTATTTATTTTTCTGTGTCAGAAAAAAAAAACAGAAAACATATTTTAGCAGAAAATGGCACAGAAGCCTCGCAAATATAATATCAAAATTGGTATTCAGCATTTTTTTGTCCATGCTTTACCTTATTACAGCTTCTGCTCTTTTTCCGAGAGTCTTTGTTTCAGTTTTTGTAAGAAATCTGCAGAGATATTTTTCCACACCTCCAAAGTTCAGTCTTAGAATTTGGCTACATTTTCTGCTTCTCATGATCCCAAACGCATTCAGTAATGTTGAGGTCTGGACTTTAGGGTGGTCTATCCATCTGAGAACACCAGCAGCTTTTTTTTTTTGATCTACAAACTTTTTTTAAATAAGGGCTTCTTGACAGCTACACATCCTTTCAGACCCATAGCGCTGAGTTGTCTTCTCACAGTGGAAGGATGGACAGAAACACCTGTGGACTTTTAGAGCAAGAGTGAAGCTTGATTTTCTCTTATCTTTCAAAAATAAAAGCTTTAAGTGCTGTTTATCTGATAAGGACAGTGTTGGTGTCTACCAGATGTTGTTTATGCATATAAATTATCTTCTGCATAATTCACCATTTGAGGAGTAAACAATGGCTACGTTCACATTACCAGGTCGAAGTGGCACAAATCCGATTTTTTGCCCTAATGTGACTCAGATCTGATGTTTTCAGAGTTGTGTGGACACACAAATCTGATCTTTTCAAATCCGACCTGAGCCACTTTCATATGTGCTCCTGGATCAGATATGTATCCGATTCGTGGCCATGTGACTTTAATATGACACTCAGATCAGAATTCACGTGCTTTTTTCCACTCTTCGTGTGCCATTGTTCAGCGTTACCATGGCAGCAGCGCCGGACAGACGTTAAAGCCTGTAAACGGTGGAAGAGCAACACAACTCACTTTTGTCGCCTTCGTCTCGCTCTAATAATGAAGCTGAGAGCTGATCAGAGTTAATTATCTTCTCAGCGAAGCTCGTTCTGCTCGTTAGTTCGAGCTGGTGATGCACGTGATTCATTCATGTGATGTAACTGCGTAGGATGTGTTCATGCTGGTCATTTCAGGCCGCCGGTTCGTTCACATTAATGATGGATTTGAATCACTTACCTAGACAAGTGTGAACCGTCATGTCAGAGAGATCGGATTTGAGCAAAAAATCGGATTTGAGCAATGAGGCTTGTAATGTGAATGTAGCCAAAGTCATTCAGAGTGGTTTGATGTGAAATGCTCTGTTCTAGAGGAACCGATTCAGTTTTTCTTTACAGTGGTGGTGATAGGAACCAGACGTCTCAATGTATATAACACAAATATGGCCATTTTATTTACCATCCAAAACCACCAATGAACCTACACGTGTCTTCTGAGCTTTTATTGTAATGTTAGTAATGGTAAAATACTGGTAAATCTAAAAAAAAAATTATTTAATGACTTGTCGTCTCATAACCTCTCCACCATGAATGGATTTTAAAAATGATGCTTCTCTAAAAATGAAAATAAGGCAGTGTTTTCAGCATCAAGCAAAGTATTCAGAATGATTTCATGTAATAACTTTGTGCCAGTGGTAATCAGTTGTGCTACTGATGCTGCTAGAGTATTCCTTTAAGTGCATACTTAATGTATACCATAGGTTAACAAATTGTGCTTTGTTATTGATCTAGCTCCAGAAACTTCTTACCATGGATCCCACCAAAAGAATCACATCTGAACAAGCACTGCAAGACCCCTATTTCCTGGAGGAGCCCCTACCCACGTCCGAGTAAGACTCACTGAACCATGCCACCACACGCACAGGATGTGTAGAACATGCTTTTAGCATCTAATGATTCTGCAACAACAGCGTAGTCCTTTTGGCAGTATTGATGAAAAACAGGTCAATTGTGAGTATTGGCTGATTTTTGAGGAGATCGAAATGCCATTTGAGAGCCTCCCCTGAAGCCACTCTCTGCTATTTACAGCCCTACGTTAACGCCTGGAGAGAATTTCATTGGAGGAAAACAGAACAAAAGAGCTGCCCTCCTCGTTCTATGTTTGTCCCTGTTGTCCACATGATCGTAGCAGTGTAAATATCCGATAGTGGGTCAGCTCCCATGGGCAGACTGCAGTTACATTAGTCACGCTACAGGAGGTTCGTTTACAGAACTGTGCCATGTTTTTCTTTTTTCAGTGTCTTTGCAGGATGTCAGATCCCGTACCCTAAACGCGAGTTCCTCAACGAGGACGAACCTGAGGAGAAGACGGAGAAGGTAAAGCTCCATCTCGCAAAACTTGGCAGCTCCAGAACAGTTGACCAATTCCAAAATTCCAACATCTCTCCTTAGTCCCTTAGTTATTATTGCTACATTTGTCAGACTTTCAGTGCAGGCTGCCTGGTAGTATCCATAGCACTTGCGCTAAAAGTAAGAGTAGTTAGGATCATTTATAGGTGGAACACATTATTACTTTTAAAAAAAAAATAGGCCTCTCAAGATGTTCAGCGCAAACTTGCATGTGTATCATGTATATATCTTATCAGTTCATTGATGGAGGGAACGATGTTCACCGTAATCAAACCCTGGAAATATTTCAGTCTCCTGATATTACAGTGGTAGTTTTTTTTGTCTAATTCATAGTATTCAATTACGTCGTTAAGAACGCCCCACCGCCATTTTGGTAGGCAAGCTGTAACTTGACTGCACTGGTCAGTCACTTAATTAAGCTCATTTCTAAGGTGGACCAACAAAGTAGGTGTGTCTAATAGAGTGGACAGTGCGTGTTTAAAAACTCCTGTGGCTGATCCACTCATTTAGAGGTCCGCTCTCCTTTGTTATCACTACAGCAACAAATCAAATAAAATCAAGGAAATACACTGAAATGTATCGGCTAGTATGTTTTAAAAATGAGTTTTAAACTGAGTTTTCCCAAAAAAGTGTTTTCCTGCATTTACTGAGGCTTCGTTATCTCATGAGAGACCGCCACTGCGCTGCCAAATGAACCTGAAGTTACCTGCCAATATCGTGACAAGCGAGATTGTGTGATGTCATAGGAATACTATGACTAAGCAAGACGTCTTAGAGAGGAAAGCTACCCCTTCAGAAGGGCTAATGCTAATGCTAAAGCTAAGTCTAGAGCTAGCTAGTGCAGCGTTAGATGCTGAGGAGGACACATCTCTTGTGCAAAAGATGGCATGCATATAAGTGTATTGATAATGTATTAATAGTGCGTTAATAATGCATGTGCAGTCCCTGGTTAAGCTAACTTTCAAGTTATCAAGCTAACCTATCAGCAGCTAAAGTAAGAAAAGATAACTTAGCTAGCTAACCGATCCTAACACTGCAGATTTCTTCTATTAACTAGCCTTGCTAGTTCATAACGCTGGTTATATTACACACACTTCATCGTATGGCTGAAGAAGACTCTCTTACATGATCCATATACATGAATCGTTGTTGGTCAAAACAATGCAGGTCAGTCATGAGTTGACCAGTTTTGTGATATCTAATATTTACCCGTTTTTGTAATGCCCTAATATTGCATGCGTGGTTTTTATCTAGAACCAGACGCAGCAGCACCAGCAGACGGCTGCGCAGACGCAGGCTCAGACGCAGACGCAAACGCAGCAGGCTCAGTCACAGCAAAGCTCCGCTCAGACAAATGGCACGTCAGGGGCCGCAGGGGCCAACACAGGGCCCTCCATCCAGCACGGCCAGGACCAGGGGCCTCCAAACAAGAAGCCCCGCATCGGACCCTCAGGGGCCACCTCAGGAACAAATGTCCTGCAGTCAGACTACCAGGTGTGCCTCTCTCTTATCTCTTACTTCCTAGTCTCTCACTTCTCTCTCTCTGTCTCTCTCTCTCTCTCTCTCGCTCCCATGTACACATACACACACACCAACTTCTAAAGAAATGTTTATGCAATATCAGTTGAACAGTAAGAGGAGGGACCTCAGTGTTTCAGCTTTGATTCTTTTTGTACACATATGTGTCACTTGTACTTTAACATATAAAATCATGTATTATATATACGGGTATTATTTACTTATATGATGACATCCTGTAGGTATTATATATAATATAGTCTGTTCCATATCTGTTATATAGTTGTAAGTACCCTATATGTAGTAATAATATGTCCCACACATATTCTGTATGCGTAAGTAATTCAAGAGGCTTTAGTATAAGAGGCTTTATTGTCATTTCATTTCATTTTATGTACAATCACAGACAGTAGACAGTACTGAGAATATGTAGATTGTGCAAAGTGGGATGTAACATACTATGACATATTAGCAGATAGCCTAGCATTTATGAGCATAGCAGTCACTGAGGTAGCAACCAGAACAACAGCAACGGAATACAGTATTTGGTTGATACAGTATTGTAGCAGCCGATATTGTTAAATAAATAAAATGTGCAAAAATGTAAGTAGACAGATATGAATTATATTAAGTGAAGTGTTTCTGAGTGAAATGTAATAATTATTTTTAAATACAGTGTCACAGACATAATCTGGAATTCAATTATATGTACTAAAATAGATCCCGTATGTATAGTTTAATATAATATAATGTAATGTAATAGTACAGTATACTACATATGTAAGTAACTTTACAGGAAAAGGAAAAAACCTATGTTACCTTTAATGTAAGTCAGTGGACCCAGACTTTTTCATTCTGGGTCGTCTCTTTTGGTCTAATCTTCATGAAATTTACACACAATGTAAAGGGCAACAGGCTTTTTCAAATTATGTCAGAAACTGAAAAACGAGACACAAGGTTTTCTTCTGACAACAGCGATGTAAGTAGTTATATGTAGTAATATGTCCCTTATACATTATGGATATGTGAGTATGTATATGCAGCGACAATATGCACCATATATATTACATAAACAGTCTTGTGCAAAAGTTTTAGGTACCTGAGAAAATTACTTTTTAAAAACTTTTTATCTGGTAAGTGTTTTTGCTCAGGAAAACCAAACATTAGAATAGAAACAGTAAACATTAATTTAAGAGTTTTTATGTATGTTGCTGTATGCCATTTCTAAACCTCTCCTCAAAGGAGCCCAGTATTAATTCTAGTTATCATCCAATACCTGGTTTATCTAATCAGTCCTTCATTAAGTTAAATCAGAAGTACTGGTGATAGATTTGACCGAATGAGTGCGACGGATGAGAGCATCGTGGAGAAATCTGGAACCAAACCCGTGTTCTTCTAACCTGTTCATAAGATGTCATTCATGGGGCTCCCGAGTGGCACAACCCTCTATGCATTAGCCCAGTCAGATCGAGTTTGACCCCTGGTGATGCTACAGCCATCTGTGGCTTGGGAGTCCAAGAGGGCACAATTGGCCTCGCTCTCTCTGGGTGGGTAGGAACCCCCCCAATCACCTAGTGCGAAGCTAGCCAGCACAGGTATTTGTTAACTAACGTAACAGAACTGGTAGTTGGCACTTTCCTCCAAGTGCGTTCAGCTGTCCAGTGTCGTTGCATTAGCAGCTGTTCGAAAAGATGTACTGGCGCTTCACAGTTTAGTAACTGGTTGCAGTAGGAAAAAAGCTGTTCTTAAAGCAGGTTGTCTTCATTTTTAAAGATCTATAGCACCTACCTGGAGAAAGTGGTTGGAAGAGAGGGTTCGCTGGATGAGAGAATTCTGTAATTATTCTCTTTGCTTGCTTAAGAGTGCGTTGAGTATAAACAGTCAACTGAAGGAAGTGATATTCTATTCATCTTTGAAGCTTTACTGACAATCTTAAATTCAATTCTTTTGTATTGTAATGTTATATGGTGTTTTCTACAAGTTAAAAATTTTAATTTAATTTATATTATAACAATCTGAGCACATATACAAAATACGAAGTCCCATATGTATTGTATATACACTATATAGACAAAAGTATTGGGACACCTACACATTACACCCACAGGAGCTTTTATGTCATCCCAGAGGTTTTTGATGGGGTTGAGGTCAGAGCTCTGTGAGGGCCAGTCAAGTTCTTCCACATCAAACTCACCCAATCATGTCATGGACCTTGCTATGTGCACTGTGGCTCAGTCATGCTGGAACAGAAAAGATTCTTCCCCAAACTGTTCCCACAAAGTTATATGTGTACAGTTCACTGGACCTAAGGGTCCTAGGCCAACCCCTGAAAAACAAGACCATATCATTATCCCTCCTCCACCAAACTTTACAGTTGGCACAGCGCAGTCAGACAGGTGACTTTCTAGGTGGCATTCGCCAAACCCAGACTCGTCCATCAGACTGGCAGATAGAGAAGTGTGATTGGTTGTTCCACACAATGCGTTTCCATGGCTCCAGAGTCCAGTGGCAGCGTGCTTTACACCACTCCCTCAGTAATTAAGAGGTGTGTCCCAATACTTTTAGTGTGGGTAAGTGTGTGTATGAAATAAGGCTGTTCTAAGCATGACCCCACCCTTAACTTCAGTAACCAGAAGTAATGATTTTACTCTTTCACAACATTAGTGAGAGGTACTTTGCAAAGTCAGGAGGTTTTGATGGCTGGTCAGGACATGCACTGTCCGAAAATGCACTTTCAGTCTTCCCTTTTCTCTTCTTCTCCTCTGCTTTTCCTCCCTCTGTCTGCCTACTTTGCGTGACTTTCTCGCTGTCAGTGACATGTTACTGTGGAGATGGACTGAATGTGCCTCATCCAGCTCAACCAGAAAAGTGAGCGAGTACTGCAGGCCTGAGGGTTTGATACGCCTCTTTATTTTGCAGAAACCTTTAGTAATGTTTGAGCATGCTCACTAAATAAACACCCTCTTTCGCAGTAGTAAATCAATGAATAACTAAATGAAGTCCTCACGTGCCCTAAAGCCACTGGCGGTGGAGTGAAGCCCTGCTGCCCTTTCCCCCTCTCCCCTACCGCTGAGGAGAGACCACACGAACGCTGCCTCAGAGGACTGTGACTGTGTGTGTAAACTTTAACTGATAAACCCTGTCAGCCCACCAGAGTTATCTACTGCACCCCCAACCCGCCGCCTGATCTCTACACCAAATACAGTAACTCAGAGAGAGAGAGAGAGAGAGAGAGAGAGAGAGAGAGAGAGAGAGAAAATGGACAAAGAGAGAGAGAGGGAATAAGAGAGAGGTAAGGAGAGAAAAGAGAAAAAAGAGTGGTAAGGAGGGGGAAACAGAAAGAAGGAGAGAGGTAAGGAGGGAAAAGAGAAAAAGGGTTAAGGAGAGAAAGAGAAAGATAAGGAGGAAAAGGAGAAAGAGAGAAAGGGGGTGAGGAGGGAAAAGAGAAAGGGAGAAGGGAGGGAAAAAGAGAGAGAGGTAAGGAGGGAAAAGAGAAGGTAAGGAGGGAAAGAAAAGAGAAACGAGGTAAGGAGGGAAAGACAGATAAGGAGGGACAAGCGAAAGGGGGTAAGGGGGGAAAGAGCAAGGTAAGGACGGAAAAGAGAGAGAAAGAGGGGGGATGGGGTAAGGAGAGAAAGAGAGCAAGGTTAGGAAGGAAAAGAGTGAAAGAGGAGGGATGGAGGGGAAAGAGAAAGAGAAAGAGGGGTAAGAAGGGAAAGAAAGAGAGATAAGGAGGGAAAAGAGAAAGAGGAAGGAAGGAAAGAGATCGAGGTAATGTGTGAAAAGAGAAAGAGAAAGGGGCAAGGAGGGAAAGAGAGAGAGAGGTAAGAAGGGAAAAGAGAGAGAGAAAAAGGGGGTAAGGAGGGAAAAGGGAAAGAGAAAGAAAGGGTGAGGGAAGGAGAGAGAGGTGAGGAGGGAAAAGGGAAAGGGGTAAGGAGGGAAAAGAGAAGGTAAGGAGGGGAAAGAAAAAGAGAAACGGGGTAAGGAGGAAAAGACATAGAGATGAGGAGGGAAAAGAGAAAGGGGTAAGGAGGGAAAGAGAGCAAGGTAAGGAAGGAAAAGAAAGAGAAAGATGGAGTAAGGAGGAAAGAGAGAGAGAGAGAGAGAGAGAGAGCTAAGGAACCTCATCATTTATGTATTATAACTGTGCTGTGTTTGTAGCTGTTATTACTGTATTGACCTGTGCAGTACTGATACAGCAGGTGCACCAGCAGAGCCACATTCACAGCAGATCTACAGTCCAGTATTAAGGAAACGTCTGCTAATGTCTCTCCCCAGAACAAGCAGCACATCCCTAAACTGCAGCCAGTACTAAGCGATACATGCAACCCCTCCTGTGTTAGTCAATGTACCCATTTACACTGAACAGACACAGCTAACAGTTTAGATTCACTTTGATTGGCTTTTGCCAGTCACCACTATTAAAGCATGATGTAGGGCATGATGACTGGTTGGGGTCATTGCTCCTCTAAATGACCCCCTGTTGCCAGGCCCAGTGCTCAGTGCGCTTTACGGGAAAATGACTGGCTTCCGCTCAGAGAGTGTCAGTGATGCAGACAGCTGCTGCTCCTGTGCTGAGGGCAGTCAGCTACAGGTTATACTTCAACCGCTCACACATACACACACACACTTGGAGAAGAAAGTGTGTAATGGTGTTTCTGAGAAGTGTTGCAGTCAGCCTGAACATTCTGGACCCCCCACAGGTCCCACCGTCACCCAATATCGTATTGCAGTTCTATTTCTACACTTCACGATGGCAGTATGCCTTATGATATATTAAAAGCACCTCAGGGATTACCCTTGATACCTATTTATCACTGAGTGAAATGATTTACCCTTGCTGGATCATGCATTACGTAGTGCACGAGATACACCAACTGGCCACTTCATTAAGTGCCCTACTTTGTTTTTACCCTCATTGTCCAGTTTATTAGCTCCACTTACTATATAGGTGTACTTTGTAGTTCTACAATTACAGACTGTAGTCCATCTGTCTCTCTGTATACTTTGTTAGCCCCCTTTCACCCTGTTTTTCAATGGTCAGGACCCCCACAGGACTACCACAGAGTAGGTATTATTTGGGTGATGGGTCATCCTCAGCACTGCAGTGACATTGACATGGTGGTGGTGTGTTAGTGTGTGTTGTACTGGTACAAGTGGATCAGACACAGAGAGTCCACTCACTGTACACTCTATTGGACACTCCTACCTTGTTGGTCCACCTTGTAGATGTAAAGTCAGAGACGATAGCTCATCTGCTGCTGCACAGTTTGTGTTGGTCATCCTCTAGTCCTTCATCAGTGGCCACAGGACGCTGCCCACAGGACGCTGTTGGCTGGATGTGTCATCTTGTCGGTGGACTATTATCAGTCCAGCAGTGACAGTTTTTTACTATAGAGAAATTAAATATGTGCAAAATACAATTAGAGCATTTTAAAATTAATACAAATTTCATTGTAGGAATTATATTTTAACATCTAAGGTTTTATTTCTCAATGGTAAGAATTGCAGCCTTTTTCCAGTTTATTATAATTGCAGGAACAGCTTTTACTAACAAGATGTTTAACATATGGTATTTTTTATTGCAGTTAAAGATTAAATTAACATGCTAAAGGTTTTTTTTCAGGAAATCAGTTTTACATGTGAAAATTAAGTCATAACTAGTAAATATTTCATTCTTAATATCAGGGAATTTGATTTGCACATGTAAAATTAAATGTTAAATGTTGACTATTAAAAACACCTTGTTAAAAATGCATTTTTCCTTATCGCTGTTGTTGGATCAAAACCTCTTACCTCCAAAATAATAACTTTGCAGGAGAAGGAAAAAACATTTATTGTATTACTTTTATTGTAAGTCAGTGGAACCAGATGTTTTTACAAGTCATTCTGGATCATTTCTTTTAGTCCATTCATCATGACATTTGCACACAATGTAAAGGTTAACAGGCATTTTGAAATTATGTCAAAAACTGAAAAGCAGCTTCACGTGTGCACATTGAATTCATTTGTAAAACCCATTGTAAAGCTGAAAAATAAGATTGAAGGCTGAAACTGCTGAAGCAAGTAATTAGAATCTCAACATGTCAAATTAGTCTTCACTGATTTTGGATTACAAGCTAAACCTGCTTTCCACACACAAACAGCGAATTTGGTGCAGGAAGAAGACGGCATTTAAAGTTCAGTATCAGGATCTGAAATCCTTTTGAGCTTTTTTACTCTCCTCTTTTCTCCTACTGCAGCAGTTAGAAGGTTTGCTGTGCTGTTCCCCCCAAACAGATCAAAACTTTTTTTTTTTTAAATATCCCTGCTGTCGGAAACAAAACCTCACCTTTTTCAGTTTTTGACATCATTTGAAAATACCTGTTGCCCTTTGCAATGTTTGTAAATTTCACTAAGAATGGACCAAAAGAAACGCCCCAAAATGACTTGGAAAAATGTCTGGTTCCATTGACTTACATTAAAAGTAAAGTATGTTTTTTGCTTCTCCTGTAAAGTTACCATTTTGGAAATATGAGGTTTTGTTCTGACAGCAGCGATATCTTAGTTAATCAGCTGAGTGTGTGTGAGTGTGTGAGCTGAGGTGCTGATATAGGACAAATTTAAAGAGTGATCTACTGTGTGTGACCAAACCAGTTTGGAAACAATGTAGAAAGTGTCTTTCACAATGGCTTCTTAATGAGGAAAATTATTGCCAGAGTGGTTTAGACGTTATTTTTGTGTCGTGCTATAAATCACTACACCAGTAATCCTCATTTATGAATGAGGTGTTCCCTCCATGCTGTTTCCTCATATCGTCACTGTAAGGCCAGAAACATACGCAAGTACGCAAATGCAAATGACGGCACTCGGCCAACGTATTGCAAACCCTCAGCCCTTCTGTACGAACTTGGACAGAGGACCGCTTGGACAGGCTTGGTTGTCATTATAGCGCCCCTTGCTGTCATGCTCAGAATGCAGCTCGCGCTTATGTTGCATTATAAAATGTGTCATAATGTTTGAACACAACTGCATGTGAAACCCCATCTGCATAGCTTGAAGCATCTGCCTTTCCCTGCGTGAAGTGTGTTTCGGGCCTAAATAAGGGCCATAAGGTTTTGTTCCGACAGTGATGAAGTGAATCATCCTAAACGTGGCACCTTTTTTAAACAGCCCTTATCATAGAACATTGAATTTTTGTTTCATTTTTGCACGTAAGCCACACAAATGTCATAAATGGGTGCACGCAGGCAGGCAGCTGCAAGCAGAGTTAAAACGGTGTCTTGTATGTCACACGCACACCTAACCGCAGCCACTCTGTGTCCTAGTTTTTGGCCACTACGTTCCACCATGCAGCACACCATTCCCCTTTCTCTCTCAGTTTGTTGTCCTTCATATGCTTTTAAATACAGGCAACAGTGCCACTCTGTGGGTTTAATTGACCCTGTCCATGGACATAAGCAGACACACGAGGGTCAAACCGGTGCATAAGACCTCCCTCTCACACACACTGGGTAAAGATGTTTGTACCTCCACAACATTTTGAGAACAGGCCAGTAATATTAATTCACTTAGTTCATATGTTTCCAAAAAAAAACACTCCTTACAGTGGGTCAAACATATTTTGTTCATTTCTGAAGTGAAAACATGCAGCAAACTTTTAAAAAAAGTGACATTTTTCTGCCAATGTCATTGCAGTTACTTCATATCTGTTAAACTTAAAAAATTTAAAAGGCAAAAATGGTAATTGTGGCACATGCAAAAGTTTGAACACTGCTTAAATGCCTCAGTAGGACTGTTAAGGACATTAAAAAATGTCGTTAGCTGATATCAAAATCCAGAGCGTAAGTTCTTTGACTCTTTCAACCTTGTGCTGACAACTGTGGGCTGAGGATCTGAAGGTAAAGCTAATTGATGCCCACAAAGGAGGTGAAGGCTATAAAAAGATGTCAAAGGACTTATAGCTCACAGTTTGCGCTGTTCGAAATGTCATTAAGAAATGGCAGTTAAGGGGAACTGTGGAGGTCCAGCCAAGATCTGGAAGCCCAAGAAAACTATAGAACTGCTCGTATGCTGACTGGAAAGGCAAAGCAAAACCCCCACATGGCAGCAAAGGACCGGAGCTGACAGGGGAGTGGTGGTGCATTGCTGTACTGTGCAGTGATGCTCACATGATCTGCATGCTAGGGTCAGCAGAAAATCAGTGTCTGAAGTATTCGAATCATCTAGATAAGCTAGAGGCATTTTGAAAACAAGTGCTGTGGACTGATGAAATACAAATGGAACCTTTTGGCCACAGTTTTTGCAGAGAAAAAGCAGAATCTGATGAAAAGAACACCTTGCCAACTGTTAAGAATAAGGATAGATCTGTTATGCTGGGAGGTGCATGGCAGCCAGTGGAATAGGAAACATTGCACATGCCACATTTACTTTTATTTTTGCCTGTTTTTTTCCACTGTAATCAACAAAATGTCATTTGCCCAACTTTCGCACACAAATGTATACAAATTGTAAATAAACTGTAATCATTACAAGCTATTGTATTGAGTGTTTGGTTCGCTTTAAAGGAATGGTTGTGAAAGATCATGACATGTGACAAACATCACGTGTTAGTACTGGGTGAAAATGAACACCACAACGTTTGCCATGTTCAGAGCCCTGACTGACGCCTCAGGGCCAAAATCTTCAGCGCTTTGTTTGCCCTCAATTTGAATGATCAGGTTAAATGTACAATAACACATTTAATGCATTTACAAGCTTGTTCTGTGAATTCTGCCTCTAGAAACATATTTAATGATCATCTTATCAGCATGGCAGTGTTATCTACTACAGCCCTGCTACCTTCTTTACGTTTACGGATTGTTTGTCTTGATAGAGGACCGACTTGGATGTTCTTTTAAACTGGATGTCTAGGCTCCCCTTGCCAAATCCTACTCACACACACACACACACACACACACACACACACACACACACACAGAACAGATGTGTCTTAACCTGCTGCTCACTACAATGAACAGATGAACAGGTTTTACTGCTTTCAGAAACGTTCCAGATCTCTGCTTTGATTTATACTGAGTTTAATGTTGATTAACTTTTGCTGGCGAGAGTGAAATAGTTCACTCCACTGACAGACTGATTACTAACCATGTCACTTTCTCTCTCTCCTTCTCTCTCTCTCTCTCTCTCCCTCTCTCTTACACGTTCTCTCTCTCTCTCACACACACATTCTCTCTCTCTCTCTCTCTCTCTCTTTCTCTCTCTCTATCTCTCACTTTCTCTCACTCTTCCTCTCTTACTCTCAATGTCACTCTGTCTCTTTCTCTCTCTCTTTCTTTCCAACTCTTCTCTCTCTTTTATTGTCTCTCTCGTTCGGTCTCATTTGCCCTCTCTCTCTTTTTCTGTCACTTTCTCCGTCCCTCGCTCTCTCTCTCTCTTTTCTCTTCCTTTGTCTCTCTCTCTCTCTCTCTCTTATTCTCTTTCTCTATCACTCTTTCTCTTTTTCTGTCTCTCTTGTTCTCTCTTTCTCTGTAACTCTCTCCACACCTCTCTCTCTGTCTTTTTCTGTCACTTTTTTCTCTTTCTCTGTTGTCCTCCTTCTCTGTCTTTCTTACTCTCTCTCTCTTTCACTGGCTCTTTCTCTCTGTTACTCTCTCTTTTTCTGTCTATTCACCCTCTCTCTCTCTCTCTTTCTCTCTCTCACTCTTTCTCGCTGTTACTCTTTTTTTTTTCTTTCATTCGCAACTCTTTTTCTCACTCTTTCATTTTTCCTCTTCTCTCTTCTTTCATCTGTCACTTTCTCCCTCTTTCTCTGTATTACTTTCTTTCTTTCTTTCTGTCTCTCTGTCTCTCTCTCAATGTCACTCCTCTCTGTCTGTCTCTCTCTCTCTCTCTCTCTCTCTCTTTCTCTCTCTCTCTCTCTCTCTCTCTCTCCTTCCATTTGTGTATTTCAGCACTCCAGCTCGCGCCTTGGCTACCAAAGCAACGTCCAGGGCTCCACCCAGTCGCAGAGCACTATGGGATATTCATCTTCATCTCAGCAGAGCTCACAGTACTCTCATCAGCCTCACCGCTACTGAGGCGCAGACGCACGTACAGATTCACGAGCACATGCACGCAGGTCTCGCTGCCATTCCTCCTGCACTCATTTAGCGAGGCCTGATTATGAGCCTTCCTCCTGTGACATCATCCCTCTCCCTCCTTATCCTCATTTCCTTTTTCTTTTCCAAGTCTTAAACCTTCAACCCAAGATCTGCAGTACCAGTCAAAAGAAGCTGCTTGTGAAGAGTTTTATTTATTTTAGAATGGAAGTGAAAACATTTCAACTATGAATTTACATATGGAATTGTAGAGTGACCAAAAAGTGTTAATCTGTTTTAATGTCCTTCATAGTATCCAGCCTTTGCCTTTGGCAGTTTGTCAAGCGGCCGCATGAGGAGCCACCTGAGATGCTTTTCCAACAGACTTGATAAAGATAATTCGTTAATTATAAAAAAAAACCTCGACAAAACCTCGTATCTCCAAAGTGGTAACTTCAGGGGAAAGAAAAACTTTCTTATCTTTGGAAGATTTTTTTTTTTCAAGTATTTTTCAAGCATTTCGATTGCTCCTTTCATAATAAATGGTTAACACTTTTGTAAAGGGCAGCTGGTGTTTTCAAATTCTGTCAAATTCTGTAGGAAAATATAAAATGACAAAAAAATGGAGATACAAGGTTTTGTTTCTCAAGTGTCTCCAAACTTTTGACTGGTACCGTATGTGCTGTATCCTGCTAACCTCACCAAAACAAGCAGCATCAACAGTAGCCATAGCCCCCTGCACCACCCTCATGGTCCTAGAGTGGTGGGATATTAAGCTCCGCCCCTCTATTAGCTGCGTCCTCAGTGTCCACCATCAGCGTCTGCTGGAGCAGTGCTCTCTGATCCCTGTCCAGTTCTGTTTTCCATGCTCCAACACACCTCCGCTCATGAAGGCCTGGCCAATCAGCTGGGTAGTGGGTTCATGCTTTACCTTTTAAGAATGTGAATGGAATTCATTACATTGTAATGTGACTAATTATGCAATTATGTAATTATATTAATAGCAATTGCATATAGTATAGTATAGTACGGGGCAAAGCCTTTGATAATGCAAATTTCTGCTGGCGCCTCTATGAGAATTGCAATTGCGTGTTAACGTTAAGGCTGTGTATTCACTTTCCTTCTGGTTTTAATGCTTCTTATAAGCAGCTCTATCTGCTTTTGAAAGCTGGAAAATGGGGAAAATGTTTATTCCATTATGTATTTGGGTATGTTTGAGGTTTACAGCCTCAAACATAGCAAGGCTGCACCAATATTGGCAGTCGTGTGTTCTGTTCGTATTCAGCACTAATTGAAATGAGCTGTCTGGTTGTGAGTTATCCACTCTGATATATAGCCAAACATGTTTACAGTCATTCTATAGCAAAGCAGAAGAACTGTTCTAAATTATCATGGTGGATGACCAGTTCTGAACCGGACGTAGTAGGAACAGAAGCTTGAACCCACACCAGCCATTTTATGGATAATGTTTGGGAAATTTTGCACTAGTCCATTGGCACTAAAACATGATTCTTAATGTGTTTGTTTGTCCTGCTTTTTGGACAGGACTTTGTTAGTGAAAGCAGGTGATGTTGGAGAAGCTACAGCTCCAGATAGAACCGAGCACTGCTTCAGTAGAGCTTCTTTACACAAGCAAATCCACAAAGTTAGCATTAGCATTAGCATCTACACCCCCCCCTTCACTGCCCTTAAAGAGCTAGACTGGCAGAAGCTGAAGTCTACCGGTAGCACTGAGACCAGCACCCTCCAGAACTCTGCAACCCTCGGAGATCCGGAGATAGGAGGACTAAACTCTCTGATCAGAATCAACACCAGCCTGACCCACGGTCCAGCCATGAGAACCCAGAAATCTCAGTGTCCGGACAGAACAGGCCCTCGAGACCCTCGGTGTGGAACCGGCCTGCCAGCGGCAGCTCTAATCCTGCAGTGACCAGCCACACCTGCAATATGGAGGCTAAAACACATAGGAACCAAATAGCCACCCCCTCTTCTTGTCTCTCTTTCTATCTCTCTTTCTGTCTATGTCATTCAAAGGTTTCGGGACACCTAGGTGCTTTTAGCATGGGTGAGAATGCGGTTTGTTGGTTTGCAGTAAAAGCAGCACTTCAGTACCGAAAATGAAACCTTCAATCTAAAAGTAGGCCAAACTACTCAAGCGCTCTACCACCCGGAAGTAAAGCACAGCTAACAACACGACTTCATGCAATCTGTGTGAAATTTCAGGCTAGATTTCTACAAGATCTTATTGAAGACATTCTTTTTTATCCAATCTAGCATTTTCAGCCCAATACCTGTATGTGGTTTCGGGCCAGTGCTAGCTTTTTTTGCAATAACTTAACATATTGAACTGGTAGATGCTTCAGTCTTGCTCATTTTCCTTTGCAAAACTTACAAAACAATGAAGGAACAGCTGATAAAAGCCCTACCACTGGGAATAAAGCCAAAATCTACCCTGTCCTATGATCAGCAGTCTTTGGGCCAAAAGAGGTTCTTTTTACAAAGAGGTGCTTTTAATGTCATTTTAAAACGCAACATTTTTCTTCATACTACCTGAAGCTGAGTCTCGAAGCAAAATACCTAAAGGATTGGATCCTTTTTTATATGCTAACAAAAACTTTTCCTAACTTGTTTGAAAGTCAAAATGGGCTGGTTTCAGTGGAAGGAAAGGTGTCCCCAAACCTTTGACTGTCTGTCTTTCGATCTTTTTTCTGTCAGACTGGAGGTAAACCCGTGCATGTCCGACATGCGCATTACAGAGAAGCACTTAGCAAGTGTAATGACCGCCGGCTGGACTCTACCAGAGCGGGACGCAGCTGTTTTTTTTCTTCGAGCACGTGCAGAGCGCCTTTTGCAACTTTTCAACTACGGACTTCGGAGGCTTTGACCTTTTCTCATTTTTTTTTTCTTCGCCCTTTTGTAAATATTGAATTCTCAGATGAGGACACCGCAGAGGAAACCCTTTACTTTTATGATTCAGACTCTGGACATTCATTTCATCGACGACCGACAATGACGAACAGCAAATATCAGCGTTTGTCAGAAAATGAAGAAAAGAAAAAGACAAAAAAAAAGCATTTTATTGTTCGCCGAAGAGGAACAGCTTTTGGGCCGTGACGTTGAGAGTGTCGACCCTGTTTGTATGTGAGTGAGCGACTGTGAGTGTGTGTGTGTGTGTGTGTTTGTTACCTTGTCTGGGGCAGCTAGCAGGTAAACTGCTCCAGTGACTGTTACCTCCTTAGTCTTGTTTGATATTTTATAAGTTTGTTATTTTTTTATTGTTGCTTTTGAAGAACATATATGTTTGTTTGTTCACTTTTTTTTTTTTTCATTTCTTGCGGCTCACTGTGTGGACGCGCGGTAATAGCAGAGTTTCACAAGCGCTGAATCAAACTAGGGGGCCGAATGGGCTCTGTAATATGGAAGAACTGTCAGCCGGTGGCCCTCTTGGGGCAGGGCAGCTTTGAAGATGCAGTTTAACTTCATTCCAGGCCCTGTTTTTCTCATAACCAAAATCTGCGGTAAGAAGAAGCATGAAATGGGAGGATGGAAGTTGGCGGAGGCGGGGGTGGGGAGGGGGCTGGGGCGGGGTGGGGTGGTTCTTTCAAAAAGCCAGGACATGTTTGGTGTCTGAAGTTGGCTCCTTTAGTTTTGTGCTACAAGGCAAATGTAATAGAAGCCAGTAGGCTTTTGTATTACTTTTAGATTCATTAGCCTTGTAGCTCCACGCAAAACTAAAGAAGCCAACTTCAGACACCAAACGTGTCCTGACTGATCATCTGCTTTTCATTTAAAGGGGAATTCCACCAATAGGGGAAAATTGAACCATTTCATTAACCTAAGCCAAAAGTAAACAGGAGCAGAGCTAAAGGATGCTCCAGCTGGAAGGTCCTCACTTTGGGCTTAAGTTATCCAGCTTAATGAGAAGTCCTGCCACCCCCTGGTCTCAAATCGACGAAGAAAGAAAGAAACGGGCAAAATGTACCACGACAGAGCCTGAAACTGCACTGCATCCATTAGTAACACTGACATCTAGTGGTGGTTAAGAGAAGCGCATAGCACTTAGTGGTCTCAAACAGCTAGCTCTTCTTCACTCCGTACTGTAGGACATCAGTGGTGGGTGTGATGTGTGAGAGACTCGGTCCTGTATGGTGAAGCTCTTTTTGCTCCGTTTAACTGATCTGAGACGTATTAAAGACTGAAGAACATGCTGAAGAATACGTCCCACATCAGACGAGCAAAAGGCACTGATCCCAGTTCAGGTTGATCCCGGTTGCAGCGACCTGAGAGGAGCGATTCATTTCATCCAGGCGGACCCCAGTGTGGCCTGACGTTTAAAGGCAGATTTATCTCATAAATGCAGTGTTTGTGGGCACAGCTCACAACAACAGTGGGCTGAGCTAATGGCCACCAGTTAGCTTGATCTTATTTGCATAATGCTAACTGTCTGAACTCCTATTGGCTGGCTTCCATTACTTGTCAGCATTTCTGAGTGAGATGTTCCTTTTAACTGGGAATTTTACAGATCAAAATGTCTGCATATTTCAGTTGGTGAGATGCAAACAGAGTCGTTCAGGGTATGAAAACTTGCTGACTCTGATTTCTTTACAGTGGTGGTGATAGGAACCAGAGGTCAATAGCAAAATGATCAGTAGGCCTTCACGCATCCTCTAAGCCTTCATGTTGTCGCTGTTGGAACAAAAGCTTGTATCTCCGAAATGTTAGCTTTGCAAGAAGGAAAAACCTTCTGGACTTATAATAGAAGTCAATGCAACCAGATTTTTTTCCAAGTCATTTTGGACCATTTCTGTTGGTTCATTTGTCATGTAATTTTAACACAATGCAAAGGATAACTGGAGTTTTCACGACATGCTGCGTATATTCTATAAACTATTAAGGCTGAAAACTTCTCAAAACCACCATGATGACTTCCTGTGAGGGAGTTTTCAGAGGCGGTAATTGCCTCAGACGTCTGGTTCCTGTCACCACCACTGTGAACAGCTCTGACTCTGTAGGTTTCTCTAGGACGAAGCATTTCACACCAAACCACTCTGAATGACTTTACATCTTAACAACAGTTCTGCAGAGATTTTGACAAATTGATGGAATTCCCATTTATTGATTATTGATTATTATTGATTAACTCCAGATTCAGTCCTGGCATTCAGTACTGCCCAAGATGACCGTCTTTTTTTTTTCCTCCGGTCATTCGTATCTCCCTTTTACCAGGTAGTGTGGCTTTGGCTTTTAGGCCAAACAAGAGCCTTTCAAAAACAGTGAGATATTCTTCAAATTGGAAAAACCAGCACTCTCTCTCTCTCTCTCTCCCTCTCTCTCTCTCTCTCTCTCTCTCTCTCTCTCTCTCTGTCTGTCTCTCTCTCTTTCTCTGTCTTTCTCTCTCCTGTTTCTGAGGCTCTGATTCTTTTCTACAGTATGTCTTTCTGCATTTCTGCACCCATCGAAAGAGACAGCAGATTCAGAAAGCATGGAGGCCCATTTCTGCCAGGTAGACGAAAAAAAGGCATGCTCTTTCTCTGTTTCTGCCAGCAGTGTGCCAAATTTTTGACTTCACATCTTGAAAAAATGACTTATGTTCTCATACTATGTTGTTAATTACTATGACTTGTAATTATAATGACTTATTATGTTGAAATATTGACTTATTTTCTTGATATATTGACATTTTTTTTAAATTTGACCTAGTACTTCAAAACATTGAATTAGTATTTTGGAATAATGACTTACCATGTCAAAATAATGACTTTTTCTCAAAATAATGACTTATGTCAAAATATTCACTTTGTATCTCATATAAGAGATTTACTATCTTGAAATACTGGCTCATTTTATCAAAATAATGTCTTAATATCTTAAAATATTTAATTAAAATGTCCGAAAAATTATTTACCATGTCAAAATAATGACATTTTCTCAAAATAATGACTTCCTTTCTCAAAATGTTTACTTAGTAGGTCGTATTAATGACTTTGATTCTTGTAGTTCTGGCTTACTTACTGGCTGACTTATTTTCTCAAAATATTGGCTTTCTTTGTGGACTAATTTTTAAAAATATTGACATACCATGTCAAAAAAATTACTTAGTATCTCGTAATAATGACTTATCCTGAAGTGATTACTTCCTTGACAGGTAATAACTCATAGCCGTACTATCTCGAAATCTCAAGAAAAGAAAAGCAAGAGAATTAGTCATTACTTTTGAGATGTTAGTATTTAGTCAGTATTTTGCGTCTTTGCTTTGTCAATATTTTGAGTGAATAAGTAACTATTTTGAGATGCTAAGTCAATCATTTGACATACTTCTGCCAGAAACATCCATATGACAGCTCCAGGTCGAGGGAGGGCGTCTCTTTCTGTGAACTCAAAGCGAGGTGCTCGGTGTAGTGTATTTGTGTCTGTCTCCTGCTTGGGTCCCTCTGTGGGACACTGACCTTCACACTCTTCCTATGCAAAAAAAAAAAAGAAAAAAGAAAAGAAAAAAAACTACCTGAAAAGCTTTCACCTGTGCAAATACGCCTCAATTTCCGACCACAGCAACCAAGATCATGACGTTTCTTACGACTGAAGCATTTTTTTCTGGGTTTTTAGAAATGAAAGTGGAATTTGTAAATTGAACTGCAAACTGCGATTCTGACATGCAGTCATTGAATACGACATTGATTTTTTTCCTTTTTTTAAGTACGCTGTATTGTTATCTAACATATTATGATAGACTGTAAAAATGGCATGTATATTAATTCTGTACAATCATATTTATTATTGTCTCACGTGTATATATCTACATGAATAGAGTAACATTTAGATATGTCTCTGGCCTTAATTTACAGTCAAGCTGGGGGTCTCGTTTTACTAAATGAAATGTTTTTTAGGCCTTTGCGTAGGTCCTTGCTTTATTTTCCTCTCTAATGTAAGGAAGTCTGTAGGCATATCTGCTTGCCTTCAGCCTTTATATAGAGTTGTACATAGGCACTGATGTAGTAGATGCAGTGATTATGCACTGAACTCCATTAAGCAGAAGGCACCAGTCCAGTGTGTTTGGATATGGAATGTTGACGGCTGGGCGAGCTGCATGGGGCTTGTAGTTCTAAAGGGACTTTGTGCCTGTCATGGTTTCTGTCTTTTGGGTTCTAATGCTGCCTTTGTGTGCTCATTGGAAGGTCCTGCTATTTCCCAACTGGTCAATCGTAAATACAAAGTCTTTGCGTCCAGGTGCTTTGGAATCGGAAACATGGTTATCTGCTTAGCTATCCTGACCTGTTTTGGTAGCTTGCTAACTTTTTTCATTTAGAAAAATTAATTATTAGCTCACCTAACATGTAGCCCGCTAGTTACCCTGCTTTAAAACCTGGTCTAGTGCTTGTCTGGTGCTGGTTTAGCTTTTCACCCCTGCAGCATACCAGCATCCAAAACACAGCATATGCTGGTTTTGCTGATGACCAGCCATGCAGGTCTATGCTGTTTATCTAGCAGGATAGCTAAGCTAATCTGGCATATTCTTTACATTTTCTTTTCATTTTTGTATTTGGAAAAATAAAGGAATAGGCTACCTACCACTGAGTTAGCTAGTAAGCTAAACTGATCTATTTGGCATGTTCCACCACTGTAGTAATGTACACAGTCTGAGCTGTGGTTACCCGTGTAAACAGATGTCCATGACCTTACCGGTGGCTAAACATAAGTTATATTTGATGAAATAAAGGAATAAGCTACTTACCATTGAGTTAGCTAGTTAGCTAATCTGATCTATTTTGGCCTTTTCTACCACTGAAATAATGTATGCAATGTGAACAGTGGTTTCCCATGTAATCAGATATCTATGACTTTACTAGTGGCTACTAAACATGAGTTGTAACTGGAAAAATAAAGATATAGGCCACCTACCTTTGAGTTAGCTAGTAAGCTAACCTGATCTGTTTCTGCATTTTCCACTGTAATAATATACACAGTCTGAGCTGTGGTTACCTGTGTAATCAGATATCTATGACCTCACTGGTGGCTAAACATAAGTTATATTTGGAAAAAGAAAAGATTAGCCTACCTACCATGTGGTTAGCTAGTAAGCTAACTTGACCTATTTTGATGTTTCTAACATTTTTTTTTACCGCAGTACAAAATTACAGTGTGACCAATGATTACACATGTAATCATATATCTATAGCCTTACTGGCACTAAAAGCAAGTTAATTGACAAAGTAAAGGATTAGCTTGCCTGCTATTGAGTTAGCTAGTTAGCGAAACTGATTTTGGTCTGTTCCTAACATTTTCCTCCACTGTAAATATGTACACAGTGGTTATAAGTGTAATATGATATCTTAGCCTAACTGACCAATCCTGCAATTTGTATTTGAAAAAAAAAATAGCTAGCCTGATGTTTTCTGACGTTTTCCACCACTGTAAAATTTTACCAAGTGTGACCAGTGATTACAGAAGTACACACTCAAAAAAGAAGGTTCTTCAAGGGTTCTTTAGTAAAGGCAGTGGTTCTATACAGGACCATGGGTTCTTCAGACTGATAGAGAATGTGTTGTATATGGTT